TAGAGAAAATTTAACAAGTCATTAAAGATTTTTTTATTATTTTTCTAATTAGGAAATTCCATCCAATTTTTATGAAATACATTTTCCATATTTTAATCCTACCATGTAAAAACATTAAAAAATATTCCTTTGCCCATCTTCCTTTTTTCTGATCATATTTTGAGATTGTGGTGCTGGAGTGGAGTGGAGGCAGGATAAGACTGTAGAATTTAACATCATGGTAAAAAAGGTTTGGTTTTGTTTTTAAATTCCACCCAAGTAAATCTTGAGTAGTTAGATATGAATGTTTTTTTTTTTTTTCTGGTTTTGTGGTGTTGGATCCTTTGGTTCAGAAAACAATATTAGGATAAAAGCTCTTTACAGTGAGGGTGGTGAGGCACTGGAACGGGTTGCCCAGAGAAGCTGCGGATGCCTCCTCCTTGGAAGTCTTCAAGGCCAGGTTGGATGAGGCTTTTGAGCAACCAGGTCTAGTGGAAGGTGTCCCTGCCCATGGCAGAGAGGATGGAACTACATGATCTCTAAGGTTCTTTCCAGCCCAGACCATTCTGTGAATACTGGTGCATGGCTGGGGTTGATGCATGTTGGGATGTCTGGTGAGGTTGGTGTTGGCTCCTGTCTACGCTGCTGCTGCTGTGCAAGGAGCTGAGCTGCTCTTGAGACAGCTCCTGGGTAGACACAGCTTACACAGAGAATCTGGGGGGTTTGAGGAGTGGTTTTTGTTTGTTGGTTTGAGGTTTCTTTGATTTTGAGGTTTGTTTTTTTTTCTTTCCTCAAATTGCCATAGTCTTGAAACCTCTTCAGGGGAGGCTGGGTAAGCCTGTCGGGTAGTCTCAGCAGCTGTTACAGCTCTGTCATCCTTGCCACAAGACAAGAGTTTTCAATATATTCAAACTTACTCAAGCTCATTTTTTTTCTATCTTAATAGTTTTCTTCTTTGGCGTGTTGTAGACACTTAAAATGTTCACATCACAGTAAATCATTTTAAATCAAGATCAGCAAATTGCTCACTTTTTCTTCCTAATACTTCAGATCCTCATACAGCTGAAATATATTATTTGGTAAATGAAGGCACTTAGAAGACTGAAGGGGAATTGTTCAGTCTTATGTCTTCCTAAAGGTTTCCTGAAGATGTAATATGATCAAATGGAAATATTTTTGCATTTTTTTATCTGTGTGTACTCTTGATGCCATTTTTATGAATGGTATCAGACGTGCTTGATGTCCTAACTCAAATTTCATGTGTGTATGTAGAATCTGTCATGTATTTATCTCAGTACCACATTGCCAGACAATTCCTCTCTACGTGTATTCACTCGACAGCATCTAGGTTTACCATTAGATCAAATTTAGGGTTTACTTCATTCTCAATACTAATTGAACTTAATTATTTAGTTCATATATTCTTAGCGACTTATTGGGTCAGCACTGGTATTCATTTTAGATCCTTAATGTAATTCAGTGCATTAAACAAGCTATAAAATATCACATTTGGAGACTACAGTTAAATTAAGAAGAAAAAAAAAAAAAACAACAGCTATTTCAAATTCTGTCTCTCTTTTTTTTTCCTATGGCATTCAAATGGAAAAGTTACTGGTAGCTGATTTAATCTCATTATATGAAATGGGGTAGCTTTCACCAGCTGGTTTATACAGTCTTCAGAAGACTACAGAATACTTGACAATAGGACACTTATTGAGATCCAGTTCATGTCTGTTTCTTTAAGTTTTAGAAATTATTTTGTTTTCAACGGTACAGGGTGTTCAACACATTGCTAGATATTCTTAACCCTAATCCCAAACATTATTTCTCTGTATGGACATGCTAGGAGAAAAAAAAAAAAAAGGTACTACCCACCTGCCTTCTCCAAATCCAGGCCTCATTCAAGCCCTACAGACTACTGAATGTTCAGCAACAGCTTTGCTTCCTCTGCTCTTTCTTTTTCTCATGACTGAATCCAAATCCACAATATGGGTTCCCTATGGACTTAAAATATTAGCCACTTATCCATCCAGATCTCCTTTCTTTGACACGTTGTGTAGCACCCAAGGCTTTTGTAAAATACTGTCTGTCTACCCTTCCCCTGTCCTCAGGGGCCACCAATAAACTGAGCTATTCCTGTTGCTAAATCTAATCCTTCTCTAGAGGAGTGGTTGAACTGAGGGCTAAGGGGGAGGTTTGACACTTGTTGCTCCTGAGCACAGCCTGCAGTTTACCTTTATGGGCCATCAGATGCTTTCCAGTAGCCTGAGTGTTTCAAGTCTATTTTCTCTTCACCAATATCAAAACCTAATGCTGGTAGGCTGTCTACTTGTCTTTTCCTAACCCTAGCCCTAAATCACACCCTGATTCTAGTCTTGGCCATGGTATTCTATATAACAAGATGAATAATGTATCTAAAATTTATTTCAGCCTCTCCACAAGAGAGGCTGGAGTTAAATAAACCTGTGTGTAGTGTAGACAGGCCTTTATCTGGCCTTAACCCTACCTCAAAGGCACCCTTTAGGTGGTAACTGAGCAAAAATAAACTACAAACTGTCAAATTCTGTTGACAAGAGTCTTCACTTAGAGACAGAAGTGCACAGATAAGTGTTGAAAGGTAGATGAGTTTCTAAGACTTACCTTCAGTTGGGTCCCATCTCTCTTTAGACTCCCAGTGGTAAAGTTGTGGTTCCAGTTAAGTTGGTTGTAAAAGGCTGAGCTACGTGTTCAGTGGTCTTTGTGATTATATGGATGGGATCTAAGGGAACCTGTGAGGAGTAGTTTATTCTGGCACCAGTCTGTCCTGCTGTCTTTGTATGGAATTGTGGGCATGGGATTAGGAATGCATGTAGGAAAAGAGTGAGTGAACCCCAGTCATCTGTGTGTATGGCAGGGGCTGCAGGACTTCAGGAGGGCAAGTGTCTTTAGCTGATGCCAAGCCTCTGGACTGGAACTTGATGTTCCAACCATGGGATGTATCTAGTTCAAGTTTGGGTTAGGATTAGGAAAATTGGGAAGCAATGTTATTAATGGTTATTTACTGTAACCCTGTATTAAGATTAGGCTTGGTATTTGGAGAGACCAAGTTCTAACACTGCCTCTTAGTCTCACTTCAGCTGAATAGCTGTAGAGAAAATGAAAGTTGGAGATAGAATTAAAATATATGAAAACCATAGGAGGTAGGTGCTGTGAAAGTTAGGTTGCTTCTTTTTGAGCATTGTGCTATTGGGCTTGAGTGCACATCTGCAGACTTGGATGTGTGGCATTGATATTTTGGGAAAGAGAAAAGAGTTTATCATGAAAGCTTTTCTTGCTGTGGTTTGTTACCTAGGTTGTGAATCACTCAGACTACAGTTAACATGCCTGCTCCTTGGTCCTGTGAACAGGGCTTGGATGTATTGCTGTGGTCAGGAGGCATACCTGGAAGACACCTCTTTGGAAAGGGAATGTTGGATTTTCAGAGGGCTGCCTGGTGTGGATCAAAGTCGTGCCGCAGTCGGTGGCAGCCTGTTCGGCTCATCGGTGACAAGGAGCAACACGAGGGCCTGTGATGATTGGAAATGTTAATGATTAAATGATTCCTCTGTAAAACCATCTGTGAGACTTTTAAATACTTTATGAAGAGGTTGGTGATGAGAGTGTTTGAGGTCTTTGGGACTAGTCAGCAGTCTTAAAAGCAACCCAAAATGCCCGAATAAGCCAGGGAAATGAAAAGCTAAAATACAGCTGCTGGCAGCAAAAGGCTGGTCCCTGTCTGGTTTTTAACTCTTTGATGTCATTCTTTCTGTCTTTCTGCTGTAAATACATCAAAACTTCCTTGAAGTTCCACACACCAGGCCCACAGGTAGCATTGCATCATCTTCACGATCACCTTGACCCCCAGTTTCCCCCGTGGCAATGTTCACCATCCCTTTGTGCAGCCTGCTCTTATGTTGCAGGCTGGCTGGGGCTGGGAGAGGCACAGGGCTGGAGAGGGAATACGGCAGGACTGGAGCTGTGCAGTCTTTGTTTTGAGAAGAATAGGGGCTGAAATTTATATGTTTATTCACAGTATCAGTTAATTGCTACAGTTTCTATTTTGTGGTCTGTTTGGTTGTTTGGTTTTTTTTTTTTTCAGTCTGTTTGGTTGTGTTCTTTTTTTCATTTGGTTGGTGGTGTTTTTTTCCTGTGAAAATTAAAAATTTGGTCAATTTGTCATGGGAGAGCAATGCAAGCATTGCTGTGTGAGACAGTTCATCCCACACACAAGTACTCTATAAAGATTTGGGGAGTTCTTGACATGAAGGGTGAAGCCTATTTGCAGCTACTCTTCAAGATTAAGATGGGCAGTGCCAGGATTTAACAATAGAATGCATTTATTGTGGTTAAATACAGTGTAAAGTCTCAAATTCCTTTTGAGATTGCTCTCGCTGGAAGAGCCCTTACTGATTGCAGTATATTTATTATCTGGTGGATCAAACTCCTCAGTTAATGAGGGGAGCAAATAGGAATGCCAATAGAAGTTGTAAATAAGCATCAACTGAAACAATTTCTCATCAGCCTTACAGTTCTTTATTCTCTGTGACTTGATGTTGAGAATTATGCAGATAAGGATAATGTTAATACCATTTGATGTAATGAGCCATAAACAGGAGAAAAAACAACTGAATTTGGGGATTTTCTTTCTTTCTCTGTCTGAGAAGGGCAACTTGCAGTGCCAGCAAATTTATCTCTTTCTTCCTTGCCTTGAAACCCTGGGATTCTTTGCTAAAAGTTGCTTCATTAAGAAAAATAAGTAGCCTCCAAGGACTCCATACTTTGAAGTGTATTTCCACACACACCATACTCCTGCTTTTATCCTTGCTTATTCTGACAAAATGTTTTCCCTTGTGAACTGTAGAAGCAGTAGTGCACACAACACCTCCAAAAATAACATGCTATTTAAGCCTAACTGCAAGAACAGAAGGGTGGAAAGCAGCATCGTTTTTGTTTTGTCACATAAATATTAAATTATTCCTTTTTTCTTATTCATTTCAATATAGGTACTTCAAAAACTAGGAAAAGCAGATGAAACAAAAGATGAACAATTTGAAGAATACGTTCAGAATTTCAAACGGCAAGAGGTCAGTTGCTTTTCCAATTTCTTTTATTTTGTCTTCAGTGGGTGGATTTGAATTTGCTGATTTTGAAGAAGGTGTTACAGGTTAACAGGTAAGATTTGTTTTTGGAGGGGGGGATTGTAAGGTTTTGTTCTGTTATTTTCAAACAGAAAGAACAGTTGGATTTGTGCATGCAGAGGGCTAAGAAATGGGCTCGTAATAAAAGAGTAGAAATGGGCTCATAATAAAAGGACATGGAATCATGGATAACACCATCCTGCTCAAACTGCTTGGGATCAGCAGAGTGACAGCACATTGTCACATTTTCAGCAACATGACAGAGAACACCAGCTAAATGCAGCTCCATAGTCACCTTCTTGCAAAGAAGAGGTGTATTTCCTTGGGTTTACTTTGTGGATTGCCTTCCTCAATGTTATATAATAATACTGGTTTTATACTCAATTAGTCTTCACGTTGTAAACACAGCACGTGAAAATGAAGGTGCCCCAAAGAGTTTATCATCTACCCCCAGTGCAATCCTAAATTCTAACCTCTAGTACTTCTTGCTTTGTTGGATGGACTTTTTGGCTCTGAAGTGATTAATTATGTAGTAGCTTTCTAGTACAAATTAATCCCTGCTGTGAACTGCATTAATGCCACCAAAAAAATCATCTTGTTATTTAGGTATCAACTGAGGTATCTGTCATCTTTGAGTTATCATTTAGAGCTCCTATGGAAAGGCTCTGGAGGGTGAGAGAACTGCTCCCACACATTCTACATGATGTAAAAGTTGGCTCATGTCAGTGTTTGCAACTCCTGCCCTGAATCAGTCCTATCTACCACATGAACTTCTGTCCTTTCCATGTAAACACAACTCTGATTGCTGAGATGCTTATTAGCTCTTTTACATCTTATGGCCACTTAGCATTTATTCTCCTTTTTGAGTGCAGAAGAGAGGAAGGTTTCAAGGGCTGCTGGGATGTTGTGTAGCTCTTCTTTCTTCCCCAGGGATGAAAATGATGGAAAGTTAAAGAATCTGTTTCTCTGGAGAGGGTGGCTCTTCCCTCAGATTTCTTGAGGTTAGGAAAATGATGGGATTTAATAGGCCTGAAGAAGCACTCTGAAGCTTTGAAACCCTGCAGAGATGTTATATTTTTTCTTCTTCCACTTCCTTTTTTCCAAGTGTGCTATCAATGAAGCATTTCTTTCTTCTTGATTGTCCTTATGTTGCTGCTTATCTTTACTGCTAATATCCCAATTGTTTGCACAGCTAGTAACTGTGTTAGTAGAAATAAGGCAAATCTGTAAGATTCTAACTGGGTGCAGAAGGAGCAGTTGGAGCATCCCCATGAATAAAGAGAGTTATTGGGATAAGTTTTTATCTAAATATTCTGAGTGAAATGTTTTTTTAAAAAAAAGAGATGAAAGAGGAAAAAAAAAATCTTTTAAATCAAATTTATGTCTCAAATGTTTTTTTTTTTTCTCTCCTTCAAGAATTTTCTGTAGTGGTTATTGTCAGCTGGAAGTCTTGCTAAGGGCTAAGGAGGATCTTAGCATTGCTTCCTTTTTAGTTCCTTCTCCTTTGATGTACAGAGAGGCAGTAATAAACAGCCTAGGGCTCTGCAGGGACTGCGTGGTGCTAAATCCAGATGCAAATGTGACTTGGGGCCAGGAGAGGAATTGGGTAGGGAAGAGTGCAGGGGAACTACTACAACCCTCTTGAGGGGCACATGCAGATTAGGCTAGGTCCACTGGCACCCCAAATGAGACTGTTTGTACATTTATTAAACCAATCACACGTCCTTACTGTGCCCTGCTGGGCTCTGTTCTTCAAATACAAGGGAAAAAATGCTGCAAAAGCACTGTTTCTACCGTGTTCACCAATAAGAAGCATGTAAACTTGCTGAAAGTTTCTTAGTTTTGACTGTGCTTTGATAGTTTTGACTGTTGCAATGCAAAGATATGAAGCATTACAATGTGCATCTCTTTCCACACTTTTTTTTCAGTGCTGCCCAGTGCCAGGACAATGGTCAACGGGCACAAACTGGAACACAGGAAGTCCCACCTAAACATCAGGAAAAAATCCTTTCCTGAAGGTGTCAGTGCCCTGGCCCAGGCTGCCCAGAGAGGTTGTGGAGTCTCCTTCTCTGCAGAGATTCCAAACCCACCTGGACATGATGCTGGGCACCCTGCTCTGGGTGACCCTGCTTTAGCAGGGGGGTTGGACAAGGTGTTCTCCAGAGGTCCCTTCCAACCCCTACCATTCAGTGGTGCTGTGTGATTCTGTGCATCTGAATTATCATTCAGATATAATGTCTTGCAGAACTGCTGTCTTCTGTAAACTCAGGCAGCCAACTCTTTTTCATTTTCTTCAATCCTGCTTTCAAGATCATCTCTGCAACTCTAGAGCCTTTGGAAAATTAAAAATTAACATCTAGGTATTAAACAATAAAAAGGTAGTCTTCTGGGTGGTTGATCTTTGTGCTGAGGTTCACTGAACTGTTGATTTGGGCCACTCAGGTGGCTTGCAAGCAGAAGCACCCCTGTTTGAGGCTGTCCCATCTTTTGCAGTTCCCTCCAGGATTGTTTGTCTCTGTGGTGGTTGCTGACCTAACAAGACAGCATGGCAGAGGCAGTTTGAGAGAATGTCCAAACTTTACTTTGATTCTTCCAATCTCACTTAGGAGTGACTTGGCTGTACCCTGGCCATCCCACTTACCTTCAGCTGGTTTGAGGAAGAGTCTCACTTCAGTTCTGTGCCTCTTTGTAAGTTGCTTGTTTGTAGCTGCTGGTGCCACATGGCTTCTGGGGATCCTGGTAAGCTGAAAGCTGTGAAAATGGTCTTAAATTTTCTTGTTTTGCTGCATTATTGAGCCCTCAACACTTGGGAGATAACTTCAGTCTTAAATATAGAACGCTCTGTTTATTAATACTCTCCAAGATAATAAATGAGGACTCCTGGATCAGCTCAGGGAAAAGACAGAGAAAGAAAAGAGAACATAGTGCTCACTACCCAGGAAACATAATTGAAGAACTGAAATCTTAACATGCTGTTCCTTGCCTGAGTAGCAGATTGGGTGGTGGGTATGTACCCAAATGAGCAGAAGGCTGTGTGTAGCCATACGTCCAGCAGATCGAGCTGTAGGAGAAGCTCATTTAGACCCCCCCCAGTGATCCATTCCCACCTCTCTCTGAATGCAGCTGGATAAAAGCCCCTCTGGACTTGACAACCCAGAGCTGAATTACCCAAATGAATCACCATGGAGAAACTGAGTCATCCCATGTCTGGAGAGAGCAGAGCACAGAGGCTTTGCAGAGCCTCAGGACTTTCCCTGTCAGCAGCACTAAAGCTGCTGCAGCTGAAACCAAGAGTAGAAACATTTGGATTTTTTAACAGTGAATACAGCTGTTATTCACCTTCCACTTCAGTTATAAACTGAAAATTGCCACTCTAAATCAAAACTTGAAGAACAAACAAAACAGAGATAAACTCGTACATGACACAGTGCGACACACGTTTTTTTCAATGTGTTGCAAGAAATTTTTTGAGGCTTAAACTTTTATCTGCACAGCTAATTGTGCATGTGTTCAGCCTCTTAATTGACCCTGGAGTTCACAGAGAGGAGGAAAAATAGACAATTCCTGCATATTTCTCTCAACTGTGAAAATCTCAAGTCTGTTGGGGATTTACCTGAAATTCCATCTCTATTCTGTTATTCAAGCAACTGCACCTTACCCAGAGGTGCTATACCTCTGTGTGCATGCTGCAAATGAAGAGCCTTAGCTTTGCTGTTGTTGAGTGAGCAGGACTTGCTTCTGTGGACTGCTTTGCTTAGTGTGTGCCTCAGTAAGAGCTGCTCCTTGGGTGTAATTTTTAGGAGTCATGGAAAGATTTATCCTGGCCAGATCTTCATTTCAAACAAGCATGCTTGGCTGCATTGCACCATGTACTCATAGGCACCAGATGTGCCTCACAGTATCTCACCTGGCCCCCAGCTCTTGCTCCAAAAATGCTCCCATTTGGATCTACCAGCCAGACTCTGGACCTGGTTCAAACTCTTGCTAGTTTTGGACGTGTCAGTGAAGCCTCTTACCAGCCTGTAGCTCTGCCCACCTGGCCCAGATGCTGCAGGATGGCACATCAGTGAGGGCATGGACTGCACTGGGGTCACTCATGGCTCCTGGCACAGCCCCACCAACTGATCTGAGCAGCTGCTCTCAGGGTTGCGAGGTAGTTGTCTAAATGTTGACATTTGTTCCCACTTGCAAGGCCCCAGTGTGTCCTCCCTGGCTTCCAAATGCTTGTTCAACAAAGCTGGCATGCCCTGTGAGACCAGTTGTGTTTGCCATTTGCTGATGTATCACAAATGGCACTGGACAGTTATGGTGGGTGAATGGTTCTGACCAGAGGATTTTCTTAATTGCCCTCCTGACTCCGCAGGTTTCACTGAAGAGATCTACATTGGCTCTAAGATGAGGAGAGGCACCCAACTCTTGTAGACAGTGATAGGTGTCTTAATCTGGAGTTTAGTGAAAGACATGATGAAGAGGAGGAGCTTCAGTGTGTATTATAATCACCTGAAATTCAATCTGTGTTCTTGCAGCACCTTCTTTTCTCTGGGAATTATTAGGTATCCCATACATCTATTTGACCACCTCTAAACCTACCACCTGTAAGATTAGACCCCCTCATTTTACTGATTTTGTGCATGGTCTTGAGATGTTGAAAAAATCCAGCAAATAAACAAAAAGTACAAGCTTTAAAATTACTCTGCATGGGAGACACTATTTCTCCTTAGCTGAAACTCAGCTTTCCATGGTTGCTTGTGGAATCTTGTACTAAACTGCAGAGAATTCTTCCTACTTGTTAAGCTGCAACATTTTTTTGATTCAGTACAGCTCTGTCCATAGGAGACTCCTTTGCTAAACAAAGGTGATGCCAAGTGCTGTAGCTGATTGATAGATGCTCAGAAGTAAACTGGACACAGGAAAACATAGTCTAGACTAAGGAGGAGGGAGATTTT